ACACAATGCACAAGTGTGCACACACACACCCAGACACACACCACACAAGGCACGCATGCCCAGGCACACAGGTGTGCACACACAATGCACAAGTGTGCACACACACACCCAGGCAGACACACGCACCACACAAGGCACGCGTGCCCATGCACACAGGTGTACACACACAATGCACAAGTGTGCACACACACCCAGCCAGACACACGCACCACACAAGGCACGCGTGCCCAGACACACAGGTGTACACACACAATGCACAAGTGTGCACACACACCCAGCCAGACACACGCACCACACAAGGCACGCGTGCCCATGCACACAGGTGTGCACACATGTGCATGTGCGCGCACACGCACACACACGCACCATGAGGCGCCTGGGGCAGGGATGGCGTTTGTCCAGAGCCGCCATCCTTGTTGCGGACCGTCCCGCCATGTCTCCACACCCAAATGCGGGGCTAACGGTCAGATGGGAAGACTATACAGCCCAGAAAAGGAGACCCCCCCCGCAGCTCCCCACCCGCTCCGGGTATGCCCTGGCCTACGGTCCACCAGCTCCTCTTGTGTGGCCGCCTGCACCTGGTCACTCTCGGAGAAGCTCGGGGATCATCTGGCTCACTGGGAATTGGGGTGTGATGAGCACACGCCTGCCATCCCCGCCACTCAGGAGGCTGAGATCCGGAGGATCGCAGTTCGAAGCCAGCCTGGGCAGGAAAGTCCACAGGACTCTGATCTCCAATGAACCACCAGAAAACCAGACATGGCGCTGTAGCTCAAGTGGTAGAGCGCCAGCCTGGAATGAAAGAGCTTAGGGACACCCCGTCCACCCCCCCAAGTAAAGTCTGCCAGACTCTTCGTTTTCTTTTTTTTGTCAGTCTTGGGTCTCTTCTGGCATTGTGCTAACTTCCTGCCTGGCTAGCCTCCACAAACCCTCCCCTGCCCCCCCCACCTCCCCCTTCCTGCTCCTTCAGGGCCCAGAGTGCTGGGCCAGGGATGGATGGGGTGTTGGTTGATTCAGCTGCTCAGGTGCTTTCCTGAGTGGGTGTGTGGGGGGGGGAATCAAGGGGAAGGGTGGATCTGGACTCATCAGGCGCTGATTCTCCTCACCAATGTAGAGATGACATCCGCGATTATCTTGGTGGTGGTGTTTGGGCATTTCAGTCTGGGGACTGCTATCTCCGTGTTCTTCATCTACACGGCTGAACTACTCCCCACTGTCCTCAGGTAAGGGGGGGGGGGCTGAGAACTCACCTGGCCACTAGCAGAAGCCTGGTGCCGGTGGCTCACACCTGTCATCCTGGCTTCTCCGGAGGCTGAGATCTGAGGATCGTGGTTGGAAGCCAGCTGGGGCAGGAAAGGCCGTGAGACTCTCATCTCCAGTAAACCACCAGCATCCTTGAGATGATTGCTTTATCTTATTTTGTTGCTGGGCCTGGGGCTGGCCCTGAGCTCCATTTCACTCAAGGCTGGCTGGCTGGCGCTCTACCACTTGAGCCACAGCGCAACTTCCTGCCTTTCTCTGAGATTCACTGGAGATAAGAATCCTGCGGACCTTTCTGCCCGGGGCTGGCTTCAAACCACAAACCTCTAGATCTCAGCCTCCTGAGTGGCTGGGATGACAGGTGCCAGCGTCCTGTCGTCTTTCAGGGCCACGGGCCTGGGACTCATGTTCGCCTCCTGGGCCGCGGGAGCCATTACCTCTTTGATCATCACCAGCAACGTCCAATCCCTCCTGCCTCTGTTTCTCTGCTGCGTCTTCTCCTCCATGGCCCTGTGCTTCTCCGCCGTCCTGCCTGAGACCCAGGAGCAGCCCCTGTGGGACACGCTGGAGCACTTCACCAAGTCGGGGTGAGTGTGCGTGCAAGCCGCGCGTCTCGTGTGTCTGTCTCCCTTCGATGGTTTGGGGGTCTCCTGCCTCAGTTCTAGCTGTCTGCCTGGCTCTTCCCGACTCCTTCCGTCTGTGTGAATTTGGGGGTTCCCTCTGGAAGCTTCTCTCCTCCTCAGGGCACAGGTGGGACTTGCTTGGAATGGATAGGCCTCCAAACTCCTTGTCCTCCTAAACTACTACGTTGTCAGCTGGGTGCCAGGGCTCACGCCTGGCATCCCCGCCACTCAGGAGGCTGAGATCTGGAGGATCGCAGTTCAAAGCCAGCCCAGGCAGGAAAGTCCATGAGACTCTCATCTCCAATGAACCAGACTTTTTTTTTTTTTAAAGCTGCAGGTGGAGGTGTGGCTGGCTTACATGGTAGAGCGCCGGCCTTGAGGCGGAAGGAGCCTGGGCAGCAAGCATGGGGTTCTGAGTTCGAGTCCCCACACTGACTTGGGGCCAGTGGGGGAGACCTGTGGGCACACGACCACCCAGCTCAAGGGGTCTCAGGGTGGCCCGTGTTTCCTCAGTTTCCAGAAGGAGATGCCCCAGTCCACCAGCGACTCCAGCTTCTGGAGAAGCAGGGAGGACTCGGTCCTGGTGCCGCCCAAGGAGTCAGGCTCAGATTACCTGTCGGAGGAGGCGGCCAAAAACACCATCCTCAACGTGCAGAACCTCAAGATGAGCTCCCTGGTCTCTGACCCCTCCGACGCCACCCTGGGGACCTTTGGAGCACTGATCCAACCCAGACACAGCCAAGAGTCAGGAGGCAGTGATCCCTGAGCACCATCGTCCCCTCCACCCCCCCCATGACCTCAGGCTGGCTTGACCTTGGGCCCGTTGTACCAGGACCGACGGGATGCCAGGCCAGCATTTCTCATTTTGGGACCTCCTCACTGGGCAGAGGTGGGGAGGGAGACTTGAGTTTGGAGGCTTGGCTCTCTCAATCCAGAATGGCCCCTGTGGGTGCTTCTGGGAATGGACAGGGCCCCACGGCTCCTTCCAGCTACAGCCACTGATCTGGATTAAAGGCACCATGTTGGTTTTGAGACCTCCGTGTCCAATTGGTCTCTGATGTCGGAGAAAAGCCACAGAGGCTCTGTCCCAGGACTGGAGGTTTGCCAAGGGAACAGGCGGTGTCATCCTTAGAGACCCCAGAGGCCAAGACGGGAGGATCGTGCTGTGAGGCCAGCCGGGACGGGTGGCCAGTAAACCACCAGAAAATGGCCAGAAATGCCTCTAGGGTTCAAGTGGAGGATTTGCTCGTCTTGAGTGGGAAAAACCTGGGGACAGCGCACAGGTCCTGAGTTCGAGCCCTGGGACTGGCACACAAAGCAACAACAACAACATTAGTAATAATAATAGTATCATCCAATAGTGACATTTTATCTGGATGAGTTTAGGTAGAGGGCTCGGGTGACCGAATGCCTGTGGGTAAATCATGAACAGGCCCTGAGGTCAAACTCCAGTAGCACCAAAGGTAAGTAAATAAATAGAACCGTAAGCATGCCAATAACGCCGGCCAAATAGGAGACATAGATAAGAGGTCCAGGGTCCAAGGGTGAGCCCGGGCAACCCATCCAATGCCAAAATGTAAAGCTGCTGGGAAAGTGACTCAGTGGTAGAGTGCTCGCCTAGCATGCATGAGGCCCTGGGTTTGATTCCTCAGCGCCACTCACACAGAAAAAGCCGGAAGTGGTGGTGTGGCTCACGTGGTAAAGCACCAGCCTTAAGCAGAAGAGCTCAGAGAGAATGCCCAGGACCTGAGTTCAAGCCCCCAGGCAGAGCAGAGTGAAGGGGTTTGATTTTTCAAGGTGCTCCTGGGTCTCCCCAGGCCCAAATCCTTTGCCAAAGGGCCTCGGGGTGGAGTTGGCACAACCGGATGCAGAAGCCAAGTCACGGGGCCATCTTGCTTGTGTTGCAGTTTGCCTAATGATATTGGGACAGAGGTCACACTTGCCATGTGAGAGCAAATAGGTCAGCCTCAGTTAAAGAAAAAATAAACGAATCGGGCCATTACATAACCGCCATTCCACTTCTAGAGTCCTTTCTGGTCTTGGCTCCTAGGCAGAAATGAAAAACAAGATTCCACAATCCCTGTCAAATGAGGGCAAAGTTTGTCACCCGAAAGGAAGTAGATTTCCCCCAGGACCAGGCTGGCTTTGGGGTGTCCCCAACCCTACCCATGAGGTCCATTCTGATCTTCTAGCTTGATGTGTGTTTTTGTTTTTGCCACACCCGGGGCTTGAACTCAGGACCTGGGCGCTGTCCCTGGGCTTTTGCTCAAGGCTGGCACTCTACCACTTGAGCCACACAGCACCACTTCTGGCTTTTTCTGTGAATGTCGGGGCTGAGGAATCAAACCCGGGGCTTCCTGCATGCCGGGCCAGCACTCGACCACTAAGCCACACTCCTGCCTGACACCTGGCTTTATCATGGAGGGTTGGGGACACAGTCTGGCCTCTGAACTTCACTCATCCATTCGGTGTTTACTGATCACTGCAGAAAAGCACATTTTAGGACATGGGTCTCTCCTGCCTTAATGGAGATCCCTCAAGGAGCAAATAATTAGGCCATTCTAAAGGGGTGTAAAGTCAATATGAAGGGCTGGGGAGGTGGCTCAGTGGGAGAGTGCTTGCCTGGTATGCACGAAGCCCTGGGTTCGATTCCCTCAGCCCCACATTAAAAAAAGACAGAAGGGGCGCTGTGGCTCAAGTGCAAGCGCTAGCTCTGTGCAAAAGCAGCTCAGGGACAGCGCCCGGGGCCCTGAGTTCAAGCCCAGGACTGGCCAACACATACACGCACACAAAACAAAAATAAACGAGTAAAATAAGTAATTAAAAATGAGGAAATGAGTAAGAGATACATGCACAGACAAGATAAATGATCAAAGTAAATAGTAATTAGGAATAAAATAAAAGGTACATACCAAAGCCCCAGCGCCCTCTGGCGGCCCCTTCCCCATACCAGCTCCCTCCCCCATCCCCGGCCGCCCTCCCTCGGGCTCAACGAAGGCCCATCATTCCCACCCAGGATGATGTGACAGCGACGGTCATTCCCCACCTCCGCCACGGGAGGGCGCCCCAGGCCCAGGCCCCTGTGACAGCGACGGTCATTCCCCACCTCCGCCACCGGAGGGCGCCCGCGGCCCCGGACCCCGTGAGTGACTGAGCCTTGGGCGCCCTCCCGTGGTGGAGCTGGGGAACGGCCTGCCGGTGCTTCTGGGACTGGACTGGGCCCCGCGGCTCCTTCCAGCCCTAGCCACTGACCGGGATTGAAGGCACCACGTTGCTTTTGAGACCTCCACGTGCAATTCGGCTCTGATGTTGGAGAAAATCCACGGAGGGCGTGTCCCAGGCCTGGAGGTCATGATAGGTTTGCCCAGGGAGCAGGCGGCGGCTCGCAGGGTCTCATCCCCAGACGCCCCAGAGGCCGAACGGGAGGCTCGTGCAAGGTGGTGAGACTCTTTTATCTCCCAATGAACCGCCAAAAATGGCCAGAAACTGCCTCTGGGCCTCAGGTGGTGGATTTGCTAGTCTTGAGTGGGAAAAACCTGGGGACAACGCCCAGGTTCTGAGTTCGAACCCCAGGACTGGCCCAAAACAGCAAAGTCCTCCTGGCGCTGCTGCTTTCCGGGACCCTCAATGCGCTTGAGTTCCCGGCAGTTTCCCTGTTGTACAAGTTTGGGAGGCCACGTTTGCTTTCTAGGCCCGTGGGCCAGGGCTCCGGAGAGACCAGAAATCTCATTGGCTGCGATGACTATCGGTGGGCGGAGCTTGGGGGGTGGTGGGCGTGGCCTTGAGACACCAAGCCAGCAGCGTGACCCGTCAGTCAGACGTGTTCTCCGCCTGGTTGGTTGTCACGGGGAGGCGGCAGGAATTGTCCTTCCGGCTGGTGGGCGGGGCGATATGCATTTTGGGGCGGAGTTAAGAAGGGGCGTGGTCAGGGGCGGAGCTGAACGTGTCAGTCAGGCCCTCTCCGTTTTCATTCGTTGCTGGGGCAGGAGGGCGGAACCTAGTGGGGATTGTGCTTCTGAGGGGAGCGTGAGTGGGCGTGCCGGGGGCGGGGCTTGCGAGGCGCTGCGTGTGCGCGGCCCTGTCAGTCAGGCGGCTTCTCTTTCTGGTTGGTCGCCGCAGGCAGGAGGGCGGGACTGGGGTG